GGGGGGAGGGAGCCTGAGGCCGCGGAGGGGCCTGGGGGCCGCGTCTCTGCCGAGCGCTCCGCTTTGTGTAACGGGGCGGGATGCCGGGGGCGGGCTCTCTACTCGGGGAGTCCCGTGACGAAGCCGCCTCTCCTGCCTTTCAGCTTTCGGCATCAACAGCATTTTGTACCAGCGCGGGGTCTACCCCTCGGAGACCTTCACGCGCGTGCAGAAGTACGGGCTCACCCTGCTGGTAACCACAGACCCGGACCTGAAAAACTACCTCAACAACGTGGTGGAGCAGCTGAAAGGTACCGCAGAGCCAAGCCACCGAAACGGGCGCTCGCTTTGATCTCCTGTATCTTCGGCGCCTGGCATAGGTCAAAGCTGTCACGAGTCTGGAGTGCGACTTGCATAGGAACTGTGTGATAGTCCATGTTTGTTTATATTTACCCATCCTATTTATATATGTTGGGGAGAGTCTTATTTTGGGAGACCTGGAGAGGGTCCAGCGTAGGGCAACCAAAATGATTAGGGGGCTGGAGCATATGACTTATGAGGAGAGGCTGAGGGACTTGGGTCTGTTTAGTCTGCAGAAGCGAAGAGTGAGGGGGGATTTGATAGCAGCCTTCAACTTCCTGAAGGGAGCTTCCAAAGAGGATGGAGAGAGGCTGTTCTCAGTAGTGACAGATGGCAGAACAAGGAGAAATGGTCTCAAGTTGTGGTGGGAGAGGTCCAGTTGGATATTAGGAAAAACTATTTCACTAGGAGGGTAGTGAAGCACTGGAATGGGTTACCTAGGGAAGTAGTGGAATCTCCATCCCTAGAGGTGTTTAAGTCTCGGCTTGACAAAGCCCTGGCTGGGTTGATATAGTTGGGATTGGTCCTGCCTAGAGCAGGGGCTGGACTTGATGACCTTCTAGATCTCTTCCAGCTCTGTGGTTCTATGATTCTATCCAGTCCTCACTAAGGCAAAGTAGTTTCTTGCCCTTCAGTGCTCAAATGTGAATTTCTTAAACAGGTTACATTCTCTTAGTATGTATGTTCAGCTTGCCTATTTACATAGCCAATGTCTGTTGTGTTTTTATATTTCTGAATTCGCTATTTAGTTGTGAAGTGAAAGTATACTTTAAGGTTTGTCACTAACTTATTTAGGATGTTGACTCCACATTAACAGCTTTTCCACAGTGAAACTACTAGTGCAGATAGTAATGTGAGATTTAATGACAGCTCTCTTTTTTTATATATATATATATATGTATATATATATATATATGTGTGTGTACTGTAGGGAAATTTTTATTTTTCTTATTTCAGATTGGTTATACAAATGTTCAGTACAACGGCTGGTTGTAGTGATCTCTAGCATTGAAAGCAGTGAGGTTCTTGAAAGGTGGCAGTTTGATATTGAATGTGACAAGACTGCAAAGGATGAAAGGTAATGCACTCAAAATTACACTTGGGCCCATGAATGCTAAATATACTATTTATATATTTTTGTCAGTTTCTAAGGTGCTACAGGACCATTGTTTGTTTGTTTTTTTCAAAATTACACTGTTATAAATCCTTCCTGTTGGTTCATGCTAGTAGTCGATTAGATGTGAGTGTTAAAGGCCCTTTGTATTTATAGGCTGTGCTGCAACATTTAAAAAACACTCAGGTGCAGAGAGAATACACCAGAGCAGAAATCTTTCACAGCATTGTATAGTTTTCAGTTTGCTGGTAATTAACTAGTGTGCTTCATTCTAAATCAAATGAAAAACTTTTGATCTCAGCTGAATATATAACTCCCATTTACTTTAAAAGAAGCTGTATATGAAAGATAGAATTTTCCCCCTTTTTTTAAAAAATTTATTGTATAAAGCTGTTATTTTCTTCAGCAACTATTTCAGACTTCAAGGTAGTATTGATTGCTACTATTCTCCTAAATTTCTCATATTGAGAAGCAATTACTTTGGTAGCAGTATTATCCCATAAACCAGTTCTCAAGGAAATCAAGACAGAGGCTGGTAGTCTTAACATTGTGAGGTCTCATGGAAGAACAATGAATCAAAATCATAAGCTGTCATTTTGGTTATATTTTTCCAAACCTTGATCATCCACTTTGTATTTCACTACATAGTATTTGTCCATTTGAGAGAGAGGGGGGGGCGCGGGGTGTGTGTGTGTGTGTGTGTGTGTGTGTGTGTGTGAAGGAAAATTGTCTCTATTGTATAGCAAGAACAGCTTTTAAACAATTTAATGAAGAGATGTAGATACAGAGAAATTTTCTGTTATAACAAAAGCTTTTTTCTATATTGACAACTTATTACTCATGTAGTGTACCAAGAGAGAAATCTCAGAAAGCTATCCAGGAGGAAATTCGATCTGTTATCAGACAAATAACTGCCACTGTAACATTTCTTCCTTTGCTGGAAACAGCCTGTGAGTATTCCAGACTTTTGTGTGATTAATGGAACACTAACAACTCTAGAAGAAAATGTCTTTTAAACTTGAATTGGAACTTTAATCTAAAGGAGACAGCTACCTTTTTAACTATGAACGGTATACTGTTCATGCAGACTTGAATGACAAATCTATATCAAAATGAAGGATTTAAAAAAAGACACCTAATCACGTCCATTTCTTCTGCAATTTTGTAAAACATTCTGGCTACATCTACACTGCAGGCTTTTTGCATGAGAACTGTTTTGCGCATGAGCATGTCCACGCTGCCATGTGCTTTTGCGCAAGAGCATCCATGGCAGTGTGAACACTCTCTTGTGCAAGAAAGCTCTGATGGCCATTTTAGCCATATGGGTTTCTTGCGCAAGAAACCCCTGTTGCCCGTCCACACTACCTTCTTGTGCAAGAGGGCTTATTCCTTGTGAGGAGAGGAATAACTCTTGTGCAAGAAGCCCCGTTTGACGCTTTACTGTAAATTTACTTACACAAGAACACATGTGCAGTGTAGACCTAGCACAAAAACTTGTGGAGCAAGAGTCGTTCTTGCGCAAAAGGCCTGCAGTGTAGAGGTAGCCTTTATGTGTAAGCTGTTTGCTTTTGGAAATAAATCCCAGTTGTAGACTTACACAATACTGTAAGTCTACAACTATATGCTATTGCTGGTTTGGAATCTAACTGAAAAGCCTTTACTTAAATGTGCTAATAGTTCTAAGCATATCTTCTCTTCCTCCTTCCACCACTAAAGAACTTGTAAACCTATTCCTGGTAAAGTGACACTCTTCAAAAAAGGACTGAACCCTGTTTCTGAATTAGAATTGTGAAACTCTGAGCTTAGGCATATATATTTGACAAATCTTTTTGCCTGATATGTATTGCAAGAATCTAAATAACTATGAAGTGACTTAATAGCAAACTAGTCTGTTTTGAAGATAAACTGAGAGCTAACTTTTATAAAAGTCATTCTTCATGTATAGTTAAGCCCTGGTGGTGCAAATAAATGAGTAACTGTTGCACAGGATGTCCTGTTAATACAATAGAGCTGTTGAATTGCCTAAATGAAGTAAAAACTGAATAAGCACTTCTTTGTAAACTTGATGTTACAGGTTATGTTGATTTAAAGAGCTTCTTTTGGAAACTAAACAGAAGATTGATATGCACAATCATACTAGGTTTTCAAAAAAAGCCCACTGTTTAATTTAGCCTTGGTTGGTCAAAGGTTTGGAAGCTGTGCAACATAATGTTTCTGAAAAGTATGCATAACTATTGACCACTCTTTCTCTTGCATCCAGGTGCCTTTGACTTACTTATTTACACAGACAAAGATTTGGCAGTTCCAGAAAAATGGGAAGAGTCAGGACCACAATTTATTGCCAACTCTGAAGAGGTTCGTCTTCGTTCCTTCACTACCACCATTCATAAAGTAAATAGCATGGTAGCCTACAAAAAGGATACCTTTCCTTGACAAAAGAAATAATGCAGTCAATGTCCATGAACTGCCTTCTAAAACTGATACGATGAACTTTAATTGCACTCTGAATAGTGTTTTGTGTGGGTGTATCTGTATTTTACTATTTAGATCCAAACTCAAGTAAAAGAAAGGAATTGTCTTGTTCACATTACACTCTATGCTGAGTCCTTGCTGACCTATTTGATCCTTCTACTGAGACATAAAGGATTTACTTAGGAATATGACAATGCCTTATACCGAACAGTATGCCAAATCATTCAAATCCATCCTATTTTGGACCATCCAGAACAATATCAAACACTTAACCCATCTAAAACCTGGATTAGAAAGACTGCCTAGACATAAGATTTCCCTGGAATATTTTTTTTAAATGGCAGCTGTTACGTAATCTAATACTCTGGAGCGCATGTATTGATTATGAGATTGTAACAGACTTGTAAAAATATTCTGTTACTTTAGAAAAATGGTTCTGACAAATAGATTGTTAATACCAATTTAGGTGGATACTGGTATACTGAAGATGATCCTACAAATACACTCTTGAAGTCACATCTATTCTTCCCACCTCTCTGCTCCATAATAGAAACTATACAAATCAATAATTCTTAGGCATGGATATGACTATTCTGGTCAATACAGATATTTTTGTGTGCGTTGTCTGTGTAGTTAACTCATGTTAATATTTGTCTGGTCTGTATTCATGTTTTATAGAATAAAGCTCCAATCTTTAATAGGAAAACTTTGTACAATATTTGTCCAGGAAGTACGAAACATGCAGTTCTCAATATCCTGAAGTCAAATGCTCTTCCTTCAGAAAGGCTTTACATTACTATCATAGCTTTTTACTTATTTTACCTAATATTAGTTTCGTAATGGAAGCCTCCTGCAATAAGTTTACAGGATCAGTGCACAAAAAGAAAATGTTTAGTGATGTAGTCTCACCATTTATTTGTATTGATTCCCTTGCCCTGTGTAAGTCCTAATGTTTCTTCATACAAGCACATTGAGTGAGGTCTTTGAAAATTTTTCAGGTACTATTTTGGCCTTTAGCTATTTAAACTCAACAATATTCCTTTTTAAGCAGACTGTCACTTTCTAGTTTGAACAACTTAAGATATACACCTCCAGAAAATCTTGTTGCACAGCTCCATGTAACTTCATTCGTGAATGTTATAAGCTTAAGAACAGTGTAAAACATGTTAGATGGGTAGAGTGCTAATTTTAAGATACTAAGAAATCCAGAAGAATACTCAATAGCTCTTCTCATGTAAGGATCTTCTGGTCTCTTGCTATTTTTAAAAACTTGGGTTTAACTATTTTTTTAATTAAGCATTAAGTACTTCAGACTTTAAGTCCAGAAACTAAAATGAAGAGTGTAAATTACAAAATTTCTAATGGAAAACCTTAGTCATTCCTAGTTGCTAGTGGGGGGAAAAAAAGTTTATAGCTGTGTATTGACAAAATACATTCTAGGCCTTTAGAAGTTGCTTGACTCTTGTAAGATGCTGTCTCTAATTGCTTAAACTTTTAAATCACTGAACATTTTTTTAGGAAGTTTGACAGTCCAGTTTGAGAATGGAATTGAGAAGAGGGTGATAAGGGTTTTTAATACCAAGTTACATATTTTGTTGGAAGCTTTAATGACCCTCAAGTTGTGTTTTTTCTGCTGTTATGAAAATAAGGCCTTGGGGGGAAAAAAACTTACGTCACAGCTAAAATTCTATGGGTTCTATATGCATTGAATTCCTCTAATTTCTACATCTATGTGGACTGCAAATGCCATCCCTACATCCTACCTGAAGGTGCTGGAAGGGCTTGGCTTAGGACTTTCCCTGTAACTGTAACTTCTGGAACCTGCAGGACAACCACCATTGAAAACAGGGAAGGCTCTCCTTTGCTTTCTTTATAAGGCTTGAGTACAGAAGCTATGAGGTTGATCTGTTCTGGGAAAAGGGTGTAGACTGGGGGATGCAGCTGGCGGTTAGTGAAGGAAGGGGAAAGGGGCAGGCTGAGCAAGGCAACCCATGAGTGGGAATGGGACAGAATGGGTCAAGAATGAAATGAACAGCAGAATAGTTTGCTCATTGCACGCTCCCCTCCAGAGCCTAGAATGGAGGTTGTTCCATCAATGTCACTATTCCTCTTCAGTCAGCTTGTGTGCAAGTCGACAAAGTGTGTCTCGGTTCTCTAATGCCAGCAGCCTATTATTTGAATGAGTTATGCATTGGATCAGCTGGTTCCAACATACCAGTGTCCCAGGTGGATGTCAGTGTGATGCCAGATGGGATGAAGAAAACAGGAATTAACACCTAAGAAATGATATTTTAAATGTATTAAACAATGAGGTTATAAACTCAAAGGAGCAAAAGTTAGGAATTGTTACAATAATGCTTGTGCACTCTTTTCCCACCTCATGCATGTGCATTATGATGATCTTGAATTATAGGAACAGATACTGTTTTTCCTCAACATTTCCCCCTCATTTAGTAAACACAATTGAGCTGCTCTGGGTCTGAATCAGGGGTTATGTAAACAAGACTTGTCTTTAGAACTACAGCCCTCATTGGCTGCAGAAGTTGTAAGGTAGGCAGTAAATGAAGCAGGGATTGTAGGAGGAGCTGGTTTCATGGTTAAGGCTGAATGTTGCCTATTGGAACTGGATTCTGCCTCAAAGCTGTTATGTGATGCTAGATAAGTCACTTAAACTGAACTCTTTAAATATGTATGTACCTCATTTTCTGGGGTCCCATTTGATAACCTGGGCTCTTGAGTTGCAGAAGTGCTAGGTACTCACATCTGCTAACTGAAATAGGAGCTATGCTTTGAACAAATTAATTGCCAAATAATGCTAAGTACACAGATCCCAGGTAGGGATGTTAAATTTTGGGATTTCCATCAACTATTCAATTAGTCAATAAGGATCATGCGTTCTACCTTTGACATATACAAGAGCCCCAATAGGAGCCTGTGGTCAGTGGGGAACTGGCCCTGGGCTCCTTGTGGCATTCCAACTTTGAAATGTACAAGAGTCCCTCCTGGGGCTCTTGTACATTTCAAAGTGGAAGCACCGCATGGAGTCTGGGGTCAGTATGGGACTCACAAGTCCATGCTGGGGGCAACTGGCTTAAAAGTCTCCACGATGCCACCTGCACCCTCCCCCTGCTGCCCCCGTCTGATGGCCCAGGCTAGCCTTGAACAAGTAGAAGTTAAAAATGGAAAAAAATTGTTACTTATTAACTCCTCTCCATACCTGAACAGGGCTATTTATTTTTTCTATTTTACATGTACTGCATTTTTCTATTCTATAGCTTTATCTTGAATAGCGAAAACACTTTCATTGTAAGTTATTCACCACTTACATTTGGCTATCTCTAATAAGCCTTTTAGAATGTCACATTGGTAGCATGAGTTAGGGAAGCTGCAATAAATTATTTTCCTTGTCTTTTGGTTTTATATTTGTAACCCTATTGCAGTAAAGTAGGGTTCTTTTAGATTCCTATGATGCAGTTTATTAAGACTTAAATATATACCCAGCATTGCTTGGGTCCCTTCAGGACATGGGGCTGGAAGAATGCAGGAGTTGTGGAGAGGTGAGGAGGTGCTCAGGATAGAGGGCTGAGAGTGTGCAGGAGCCAGGGGGAAAATAAGGAAGGGCAGGGGTATGGTTTATGGGATGGAGGTGCAGAAACTGGCAGGGGCTGTGCTGCCCTGGCAATGAACAGGAAGCTTACCACCACCTCTATCCCCTGCTACTCCAGTAGGGTTATAGTTGTCTCGGTCCATGTCTGACCCCTTGCTGCCCCACTGTGGTCCCTGTTTGCAGCCCCCTCCTTTTCTGTGTTTCAAAAAACAATCATTTTTCCGGCACATCCCATTGTCCTGGTACAACCAAGCTCTTACCTTGATTTTAAATTATGGTAAGAGAAAGCTACATACCTGATACTAGCTCTTACCATTTGAGGAGTTTTTAAACAGATGGGTAGACAGACTTGCTCACTCACTGTTACTGCTTGTATATTTTCCACTAGAGGTCATCAAAGCTATAAAATGTAGCTGAAGAATGCCCTGACCCCCTCCTCATTTTCCCCCTGGCTCCTGCACACTCTCAGCCTGCTATCCTGAGCACCTCCTCACCTCTCCCCCTCAACTCCTGCATTCTCCCAGCCCCATGCCCTGAAGGGACCCAAGCAATGGGTTAACAGTTTTTGCTCTTCACAATTTATATTTGTCGCCCATCAGCTATTTCATGTAGATATGAAAAATTTCTGTTTCTTAAGAAAATGTTAACTGTGGGTTTCAGGTGCTGGATTACGGAGTTCTAAGAAGGCATAAAAATGATTGATTAGTCAGTCATTAGAAAATTTCCAGAGGGGAACAATTGAAAGACTAGGACTGTTAGGGGCTAGAGGAGAGGTATACAGATAATGATAGGCATAGAGAAGGTGTCCCGGGCATTTGTATTTAGCCACAAATTAGACAAAGAATAGCTGATAAACTCTTTACAGGAAATTATTTTATTTTGTAGAATTTATTTCCACAAAGGATTATTGAGGCCAAAAATTTAGGATTTAGAAAAACAATTATACAGTACAGGTCTATGGATAGTTACTGTAGGATTACAGAAAGTTAGGTGTATACTTTTTCATATGTCAGGAGGTAAATTTCACACTGACTGGGATCTGGAAAGAAATGGCAGCTAAAAATAGGTTAATCAATGGGTGGTTTCTGGGACATCCTAAGACAGTCACGGCGAGACATTAGAACAAATGAACTGTCCCAGATCTGTCCACTGGTAATTCCTATTTGAAATCATTTGGGCATTATTTCTGCATGGATCATCATTTAAATGATTTTTCAGTCAAGGTCGGGGGAAACATTGCTATAGAACGTAGAATTTTCCAAGGTATATAGTCTATATAAATGCAATATTTTGTAAGTACTAGAAGAAGCTAGAAGTCTAAACACTAAAAAGGTGAATGTGAGTGCCTGATACAAATAAGGAATTATAATCAAAGGATACTGTAATACCATGGTACAAAATGCACAGGAATGACTGAGAAGATTGTGATGGTGAGTAGATCTCTGCTCCAATACAAATGTTAACCCATGGATGCACATATCTGTGGATAGAAATAGATATCTGCTTATGCACAGGGTTCTCCCAGGAGACACCGTGGCCAAAGGAAACGAACATGATGCCACTGCTCCCAGGAGCCAGTGCCTTGCGCCAGCAACTCCTCCACCATGTGCAGGACTACATGACCTCAGGCAGGTGACATGGTTGGGGGCAGGGAGGAGGGTGTTACAGCTGCACAGCCAGGAGATGCTGACACAGGACGCTCTTTTGGTGACAGCACCTCCTAGGAGTAGAGCCCTGCAGATCATCAAATACAGATTTCTATAAGCAGATAACTGCATCCCTAAGAAGATATTTGTAGCTTCACAGGGCTCTACTGAAGAGGAAGTGTCACTATGTGAAAAAGCAGAGGGGCAGAGGAAAGTCTCAAATGAATCATGCTGAACAACAGAAGTGCTATGCTAAGAAATTCCATATTTGAATAAGGAATCTAGCTGTAGGAATATACTATTGACTACCAAAATCAGTCAGCATCCTGGTGAGGCATACTCATGGAGATTAGACAGTACAAAACCAAAACACCTAGCTGAAATTCTCCACTATAATTAGCTCCATAATGACTGGGTATATGTCACTTAAGGATGGAAGGTACAGATAAAACTTCTACAGGCAGTCCCCGACTTACGTGGATCCGACTTATGTCGGATCCCTAGATACGAACGGGGTGAGGCAACTCCCGCACATGCACAGCAGCATTCCCGGGGCTCGCTCACCTGGGTCCTAGGATCCTCCTCCTCCTCGGGCCGGCTCCGACTGGGGTCCCGCAGAACTGCCGGGCAGAGGAAAAGTGCCTCCCCACGCCCGCTGCTCTCCCCCCACCCCGGCCAGCAACAGGCTGGCTGCCCGCT